GGTTGGGGGGCTTGCGTGGTCTGCAACTTCTCGATCTCAGCCAGAACCGACTGGAAGCCATCCACTTAGCCCGCTGGGGTCTGCCTTCCGATCCCATAAGTCCAGTCATCCGGCTTGACCTGTCCGACAATCGAATTACTCTGCTAGAGTCTGATGCCTTTCGTCTTGTCCCACGACTCGTCCAGCTCCTGCTAGCCGGTAATCAGTTGCGCGAGTTGCCACTGGAAGTATTCCGTGGGCTAACTAGTCTACGTCTTCTTGACCTCTCTCGCAATAAGCTCACTCTCCCCGGCCTTCTTGAGAAGCCGGGCTCTAGCGAGGCGGCTGCAGGAGGCAAATTTGCCACGATGCTGCCTCGACTACGCCAGCTTCGTTTGTCTGGAAACCCATTGACCCGGGCGCCTGCCAAGCCAGCCTGGTGGCTCTCTACAGAGTGCCCCAGTCATCTGAGTGAATTGCACCTGGATGAAATTGGCGACCTCCACTTGGCCTCACCTATCTTGCCCCCGATTGCCTGGCCTCAGTGTCCAAGACTCATGTTGATTAGCCTAGTACAGCCCTACATGAAGGCACTTAGCTGTTTGCCCCGTACATGGCTCGGCCTCGATCCTGCCGGAGTCCTGGGGTCTGGTGAAGAATCAGTAATGACTAATCGCACTTTTCAGCCGGTTGGACTCTCCGTTTGTCCTATTATGCTATCTGATGATGCCAGGCTACAATCTCAGTCCTCTCTATCAGATCGGGATCATCGTTATGTATCAGATGAGGCCTCGTTCCGTATTGCTGAGACAGCTGTCGACAAAACCACTTCGCTTCGGGATCTCAAACCAATGCCACCGGCCGATGCTCAGGAATCTGATACTTCAAGCGTTGTCGGGGCTCTTCCACACATAGCTGATTATAACGCTGACGGGAGTAATCCAAATGAGGCAAAAAAGTCCGACTCTTCATCGACTGGTCTCCTGGCGTTACTCACGAACCTCTTCCCGATAGAGCCAGAAGGGCCAGCAGCCTCGGTTCCTCATGATCCTCTTGCTGCCAGTTCAGGTAGCTTGTCTTCTCTAGGGCTTGACAACTCCGATAGTAAGGAAGCCAAACATAGTGGGCTAAACAGGCACCAGCAGCGCCGAGAACGAGCCTTCCGCTCCCTCCTTTTGCTAATCCTTCTCAGCCTCGCACTGACTGTGACCTTGGCTGCTGTTGTTCTTCTTCTTGTTACATGTAGCCGCCGCGCCTTGAGCTCTTATGCTCGCCACCGCCACCAACGTTCTCTGAAATCTAATGCAGCTCAAAAAACACCTGGCATGGACTTCTTTTCCGGTAGCAAAAGCCCATCTCCGACCAGGGCTGGCGCCACAAGGGAGATT